TAATGAAATGATATTATCTTGAAGATAAACACCAGCAAGGACATTGAAACCTTGTTGATCAAGTTCGATAGCTAATCCATGACCGAAACCAGTATCACATCCTGAAATCAAGACATATTTACCATTTGGATCAATGTCTGGTGGTGGAAAAAAATGTTGATATAATCGATATGAAGCGTACAGAATAAATACAAAGCTTAGGAATAGATACATAATAGCTTATTGTACTAAAGATATCTAACCAACTAAAAGTTTGTTCTTTTCGGTAGTCGTAGAAAAAAAAAGAAAAATGTGCGACACAGAATGACGGTAAAAATACAGGTAAAGATAAATGTTGCTTGCCACGTGTTTCTTTTTTTGTATACAAAATAATTTTTATAAATGTGTTCTATTCGTTATTATATAATAAATAACCATATAAAGAAGGGTTAGATATATTTATTAATAAAAAGTTCGAATACAAAAACTATATTTTTACTCATTAGATTGATTTTTTACTCCTGCAGGAGAAATACGAAATGCTTGAGAAAGTATTTTATCAACTAACCAAGCAGGAAGAAGTGATAATGGAAAAAAGAAATAACTTGATTGCAAACCAGGTCTATAGCGAATTTGAGGAGTCGTACTTGTAATAGCATGATCGAGTACGCGAATAACTTTCGATGGACATTCAGAATATTTTATAAAAGGACTAGTCATTATCATTTTTAATGAATCGTTGAAGAATTGTTCACCCCATCGTTCTTGAATATCAGCAGATAATTCATGCCAAATATTTTTCAAAGAATCTTCCATTCCTTCAGTCATTGCTGTTCGCATAGTACCTGGTTCTACGATAGAAACACGTAAACCCCAAGAAGCCATTTCACGTCGAAGACAATCACTAAATGATTCTAATGCATATTTTGATGCACAATAAGCAGAAGAACTTGGAAGACTAATATAACCGCACATGGAACTCATATTTATAACACGAGAATCACGTTTAGCAATCAGTAATGGAAGAAACTTTTTCGTCATTGCAACATGTCCAAAATAATTTACATCCATTATTTTACGCATCGTTTGCATTGATATCCAATCAATATGACCGCCTGTTGCAAGACCGGCATTATTAACAAGTGCATGTAGAACTTTTGTTTTTTCATTTACTAATTCAAAAGCAGTATCAATACTATTCTGATTAGTAATATCAAGATGAAAAACAGTTGCATTGGATGAAAGTTTATTTGTTAATGAAATAATACTATCTTGAAGATAAACGCCAGCAAGAACATGAAAACCTTTGTGATCAAGTTCGATAGCTAATCCATGACCGAAACCAGTATCACATCCTGAAATCAAGACATATTTACCATTTGGATCAATGTTTGGAGTTGGAAAATAATATTGATATACTCGATAGATTATCCACAGTAAAATTACGAGTCCAGCAATAAACAACATCATATTTTGTTTATGAAAGCAGAAAAACGAACACGAATGACTATTTATCTTTTATCTTTCTGACTATACGAAAGAGTACGTATGCATTATAATAGACGTTAGAATAATATTTGTATTTCATTCGTTTTAATGTGACTTTGTTTTTGTGATGTAGAAAAATCAATTCGAGGGATGAAGAAAAAAAAGAAGCAAAACAAAATTAATGATGTTACGATTTTAAAAATGTATATAAAATATTAGCGCCGTTTACTAGAACTCTTTAAAATTTTCTACGGCATACTGGATTTAATTACTTATAAAAACATATAAAATGAGATCAACAGTATCACATCTATATCGATAGAGATTATCGTGTAACTTATACTGATGATCTTAGTAAATAAAATGTGTTATATTTGAACACACTCACAATATTGGTGATTGTAGCGATGCTCGTCTCATTTGAAGTATTGCCTTTATTATTTCGTACTTATTGCTCCTTTTTTTCATTCTATCTGATGAGCGGGTATATGAGTGTATGCTTTGTATGAAAACGATGTGATTCTCGATAAGAAGAAATATAACAAAATGCAATACCATGTAGTACAAACAAATCTTTTATTAGAAATATTCACACTGATGATTAGATGTTTTATTTTGTCTAGATTTTCAACGATAAGTTTTAGTATATTAACAAATACTTGTACTTTTGCCTACTTTATCTTATAGAAAAACAAACTTGTCGTCGAGATAATCTTCTTTCATAATCTTGAGTCTACCGACATTTAAAAAAATTAGATATTCTCTATATGTGATTGTTTAAATTCAATGTATATTATAATATAAAAAAGATGAATTTAGGAATTGTAATAATTAATCAATATCTACGTTCATTCTTTGAAACAAACAGACAATCTTTTGTTTAGTTACTTAGTATTTTAAATACTATTCCATTAGAAGCATACCAAATGGATGTTTACTCAGTTGATTTCATTTTATTTAACACAACATTCATATATTCTACTTTTATATTTTATATTTATTTATAAAATAAAAGATTTGTTTTATAATACGTTGATTCGACGACATAATCGAAGTTTCAACTTTTTTATTCTCACTAACCCTCCAATTAAAATCGAGTAGAAAATATTATTTAGTTTCCCTAACATTAGCATAATTCTTTTGTGATGAAAAGTAAATAAATGTAGAAAATAGAAAAAAAACAAGGAACTATAAAATATACATTCATGCAATTCTAGTCTATATGATATTTTCGTACACCAGCAGGCTTAAGATCAGTATTAGCTGCACGAATTAGAATAAAATCTGTTAGCCAAGTAGGTGCCATCGATAATGGTAAGAAAAAGAATTTTGATTGCCAACCAGGGCGATAACGAATTTCGGGTCTTGAATTTATCACTGCATGTTGAAGTGATCGTATGACCTTAGTTTGATCTTCGGCATAACGATAAAGAAAATTATCCGATAGTTTTTTAGTTTGCATTTGAAAAAAATCTTCACCCCATCGATCTTGAACATCTTTTGATGATTCATTCCAAAATTTTGTCATAAGTTTATCATGTCCATCAATAATTGGTGTTTTCATTGGACCCGGCTCAACAATTGAAACATATAGACCCCAAGATGCCATTTCCCTTCGAAGACAATCGCTAAATGATTCTAATGCATATTTCGAAGATGAATAAGCTGATTTCATAGGTGTAGTAAGAATACCTGCTACAGAACAGATATTAATAACACGTGAACCACGTTTTTTTATGAGTAAAGGCAAAAATGTTTTTGTCATTGCAACATGTCCAAAAAAATTTACATCCATGATTCGTCGCATGGATTCCATTGTCATCCAATCGATATAAGCACTTGTACTAATTCCGGCGTTGTTAACAAGTGCATGAAGTATATTAGTTTTTTCTTGAACTAATTCAAATGCAGCATCAATATCTTCTTGTCGTGTTATATCCAAACGGAAGACAGAAGCTCGTTCTGAAAGATTATTACGAAGTGACGTTTCACTATTTGAATTTAATATACCAGCAAATACATTAAAACCTTGTTTATCGAGTTCAATAGCTAGAGTATGACCGAATCCACTATCACAACCACTAATAAGAACATATTTTCCTTTTGGATCGATATTTGGTAATGGAAAGAAGTATCGATATAATTGATAGATTGAATCAAGAAGAAGTAGTAAAACAATTAATAGTATCATAGCTATAGTCAAATACAATAATGAAATATAAAATTTATCTCAACATCATTAATATGCCTAGCTATTATTTTTATCTTTAGTTTCAATGTGAGGACACGTCAGTATACATTCATCCAGGTGTATGGTGAATAATTAAAGGAATGACTATGATGCTTTTGTAGATGTCATTACTCACAGTGGAGCACTTATTTAATTAATATATTAGTAAAAAACACAACGACTTTCGAAATTTGCAGAAATATTTCTACTAAATACTATTTATATTAAGAGAAATTTATCTTTTATCATCTTTTTGCTATATATAGAATTAATATATATGTAATAATATTGAGTAATCTTATTTTTTGACGAATAGATTTACAGTTCATAGGTGTTTTTCCTATACAAAAATAAATACAGAAATTATATTAATGCATTCTTATTCTCTTTATGTTGACATTCAATATTTTTTGCACATCTTTTTTTTTTTGATATATTTATATTAAATGTCTTATTGAAGTCTGCTTCTTATTGTTCCATCATGGCCTGTATTAGTTGTTTGAATCGTAAATTGTTGTGGATGATTTCAGTTCGACGAATTTTTTGATAAAGTTTTTTAAGTTCTTTTCTAAATAGACCACTTGATAGTGTAAATAAATAGAAACTTAAGCAAGGACCAACAGTTGAAAGCATACCAACAGCTGCATTAATCATATTTTCTTGAGCAACTTGAAAAGCATTTTTTGGTGCACTCGCATTTATTGCTGTAATAATTAATGCGACAGAAAATGTTAATCCAGTTATACAATATACTAATACTTGAACAAGTAACATTCGAAGCATATGTGTATTAGTCGTTCGATTAGTTATATTGATCGTCTCAGTTGTTGGTACAACACGAAGTCGTTTCGCTCGTTCAACATTTCGTAATGTAAGTAAACCAAACATAAGCATAACTAACGATGGTGATAAACCAAGAAAAATTAGATTAAAATATGATAAAACTATACGATAAGTTCCTGGTGGTCCTGGAGGATAACATATAGGTTTTTGAGTAGCTGGTATGATGTCGATTTCGAAAAAGACAGGGACATGACTATAAGCCACCAAAATAATAAGAATAGTAAGAGGAATAACTCGATTAGCTACGCGTACACTGCTCCATGCTCTCATATTTATTGAGCGAGAACTGCATAAATACCGATCGGCGCAGGCGCACACAATGAACCAAAAACCTAAACCCCTATAAAAAAAATATATATGTCTAAGAAAACATATTTGATTTAACTATACATACCTTAATGAATTTAATAAAAGCCATGTTATTTTACAGAATACAACTGAATATGCACCAGGATCTGTATCAACAAAAGCCGATTGTATCATTCTCATAGGTAAGACATAACATGTATGTAATAGTCCAATAATACTAGCTGCTAGGAAATATCGACTACAAGGATTAGATAGTAGCGAACGACGAGTAAATACATAAATACTCAATAGATGACCTAGAGTGCCAGGAGGTATAACTATATAACAATAGCATCGAATAAACATCATAGCAATATAATTTAAATTGTTCGCTTCTAATAGAAGACTTGAAACTGCTGACGATGACATGTTATTTTTATAAATAATGATAAAATGAGACTAATAGGCTCGTCAAAGTGTGAATAAAAAAAGAATTTCTTTTTTTTATCTATCATATGTCAAAAGGAATTATCTTATTCTATTATGATATCTATATATGACATATCTAGATGGCATGTAAATATGAATGAGGGTTCATCTAGTTTGCACTGCTTCAATAATTTTTAACTATAGACAACATAACTAAAGCAAACAATATCATTTCATTCATTCAAATTATCACAAAGTAGAGTATAAAAACTAACAAAAAGTATGTTCTAACTTATTCAACATTAGAATGTAATATTGTTATAATAACAATAATAATAAACTCAAACAACAGAAGCTAATAATTAATACATTTTTATCTATATGCGTAGCATTAGTTTATATATAGCATCTCGAACAAAAAAAATATTTCATCTTGTCTTTTCATTCAATTCAATGAAACGAAGAAAGTAGTCTTGCAGTAAACACAATAATTATGATAAAAAATTGCTTGAATTAATAAATAAAATAAATTATTCAACTGGAATCAATTTTATTTAAATATGTATAACTATAATGACATAAATATTTTTTTAAATTACTCCGCTCATGTCCTATTTGCTTAATGAATATTATCTGTTTATTCCATAACAATGTTAATAAAATAAAAGATTCAGAAATTGCTAAATTATTAGCAAACAAAGTTCATCGAAGTAAAATGGATCGTTGGTTATATCGATATAAAACTACAATCACGAAGGATAAGAACTGACTGTACAAAAACAAACTCATCAATTTGATGAAAAACAGACTCGACTCCAACATTTCTCAAAAACAAACTACGAATAATGGCTTGGCACCGAGGGGGAAACAACAGAGACTTCACGCCTGAAGTCTAATGAAGTCTCTTGAAGTCTTCTAGAGTTTCAGTGGAAGCATGTAGTCCATGAGGACCCGAGGAATAAACAACAGAGACGTCATGTATGATGTCTCATGAAGTCTTGGAAGTCTTTCGAAAAAATGAAGTCTCGCTTGTTGAAGTCTGTTGAAGTCTTGAAGTCCGCTGGTTCCCCCTAGCTTGACACTTAAAATAAAGAACACGGTGGATTACAGGTAGTGGAAATATATTCTGTAAGAATCATAGTTGGATTAGATGTGATATGGCAAACTCATGCAATCTTGTTTTTTTCAAAAAATCATGGTTGTATGAGTTTTTGAACAAAACATAAAAATAATGCTGTAAATACACGAAAAACAAAATATTCAATGATAATAAATTTTTTCTTATTTAATATTTTTTTTATATAATAAAGTCATAATAAAAATAAGACTTTTTTTCAAAATATAAATAATATAATATAAAGCAATTACATTTAAAATCCAAATTTTAGTAGCTGATGAAAAATAACGAGTAATTTTAGTAAAAATAATTAATAAAAGTATACAAAAAGAAAACATAAGAAATAAATTCGATATTAATTCAATATTAATTCGAGAGTTAATTATATTTTTATATTCAATAAGAAAAAAATTTACAGCTTGAACTAAAACAATATTAAAAGTAAAATTTGATAATAGAATATATTTTAATCGATACCAATAATATACTCGTGGTAATGACCAATATTTTTTTGGAGAAACAACTTCATCTTTTAACCATATATTAATATTATATTTTGATACATAATTTGTTAAAGAATAAATTCGACTTGTAAATATTCGTTTTTCACAAAGATTTAATTTTGTATCAAAACAATAAGTATTTTCTCTTGTTGAAAATAAACAATTCGAATAAAATGATGCATGTGTTAAATCTTGAAAACCATGTACTATACGAATTATATTATCTAAAGATTTTAAATGTGTCGTACATACAATACGTTTCGTATGTGGAAATAAACGAAATAAACTTTCAATAATATATTTCGTATTCTTATAACTAAGATAAATTGTTAAATTATGAATTTGTTTAAATTGATAATTTTGCATTTCTTCCATTCGTTCAGCTGTTATTGGTAATAATATTGTTAAACTAAAAAGTTTAGGCATTATTGATAGGTACGAATTAAATATTAATATATCTTGTATCGATGGTATAGATAAGTATTCTATTTGATTTAGATTAATAATAGATAAGAGACTTTCAAGTGAGATTAAACTTTTAAAATCTAAAGCTTTAATATGAAGAAATCGATAGTCACTTTTGTTATCTGGAATATCATTTATAATAAGTTTAGTAATTTTATCATACAATATATGATTATCAGATATATTACAATCAAGAAATAAATAACCAGGAAGAGTCATTTCTAATGGAGCAAAATATGGTACTGAAAATATCGAATTGGAATCTGATGCTATAAACCAATGTTTTTCTTCAAGCCAAAATGATGTTCGAAATGAATTAAGATTTGAATATGAAGAATTAAGTAGAAAAAATTTAAAATTGAATGTAATAAAATTACTAGTTAATTTTTCCCATCGTTGGGCATTAACAATATCATATTGGCCATGAATTTCAAGGGTTAAATATTTAAGATTTGGAAATTTCAATATAAACTGTTCCATAATATCCATTGATAATAAAATGTCTATAAATATTCAGAATATTTTACACATATAGCATGAAGTCTGTATAATACTTACTTTTCACTTTCATATGTAATCGTGTAAATTGTATTGATTTTAAAATAAAATCACAAGTTGGTTCTTCATTTTGAATAGACACATCAAGTGATTTAAGTAATGGTGCATGAAGAAATATTATTCTAAGATCTTTCATTGAACATTTTTCTAATTTTAATCGAAGAAGACTTGGAAACTGGATGGTTTTTGTTAGAATACTTTTTCTTAAATGTAAATGAGTTAATTGCGGTGCTATTAACATATAACTTTCACGTACGTTTCTTAATATTCGATTAATTTCATTTGAGCGATCAGTTCTTTCTCCTCGATTGACATATCTAATCATACTGCTATTATATGAAAGTGAATGTAATTGATCAAGTCTATGTAGATTAGAAAAAATAGATTCTAATGAAGTTATTTCAATTGCATCTAGTACTAATGATCGAATTTGAGTGAAATGTTCAATTTGAAAATGAGATAAGAATTGTTCGGAAAGACCTGGTGTATTATTATCATCAGAAAATCTAAGATAAATAACTTGTTCAGCTCGAATAAGACGACAAATAAGATTAAAATGAAATATTTCAATTGATTTTAAATCTAATCGATAAGTAGAATATGTACGTAGAACAGCATTCATATAATCGCTAACATCAGAAAATGTATAAAGAATTTCATGTGCCCAAAAATAATTAAATAAGATATGCAATAATTCAATTGGTAATAGATCAAATAAACAAATACGATTCATGATATGTTTTTTCCTCATCAAATATATTATGTACAATTAAGCAAAACAAATAATATACAAATATTTTTCGACTCGATATAAGTACGTATGTCAATAGTGTATATATATCTTGATTTAATTATAAATAGAGAAACGAAAAAAGAAAATTATTCGTTGATTGTTACTTTCTACCAATCTAAAAGATACATATGAAGATGACGCTGTGTTATAAATGATGATAGTAAGATACATAAAATATAAATTTCAAATGTTCAGAACTGACTTTTTTAGAATGTATTAATATAGATTATGTACACATTCTATCACGTAAAAATAGAAAAGCAAGATTAGTTATTTTGTAAATAATATTGCAAAGCTGAGAGAATGTGAAAAACGTTTGATGAATTTTTTTTTATCGTTATTTTGTTGGAAATTCTAAGAAGACCACGTGTAGACTTTTTTTTTCTCTTATCGTTTTCTTCCTTTCTCTTTTTTTTCTTTACCTGTTAAATAAATAGTCGACGACAGTGAGTATTTCTCTGAATGTTGTTTCTTTTGCATTTTTTTTTAACTATAAAGCACACCAACATCGTTATTTACAGCATTTTTTTGTGAAATTTACAGTCGGCCAGCACAACAACACGCGATGTCGATGCAACAATTAAATGACGAAATAGAAAAACTTTTTCGTGTAAGCAACAAGTATCAAGATAGCTTTATTAAACGACTTGATGATCTTTATCGTAAATTTGGTACTGTCAGCATGGAGAAGTGGCGAAATAGATCAAATAAACTCAATTCATTACTTCATGAATTGGTCGAAAAGGATATGCCTGATGTTATTGAACATGTTATACGGGAACATAAATTTGATATAAATATTCGACGTGATAAAGATGGTGTAACTCCTCTTGATTTGGCTTCAATGAATGAAAATTCGAATATGTGTGATTTGCTAGAACGACTTGGTGCCACAAATGTACAACGTGAGGACGTTTCAAAATGGTCAAGCGATGAAGAGAAGGAAAAATCAATGAATATTGTATGGCTCGATTTAGAGATGACATCTATTGAAGACCCACACATATTAGAATGTGCTGTGATTATTACTGATAAACATCTCAGAGAATTAACACGACGTAAGTTAACTCTTATTTACGCTTCTGTCCTCTTCCTACAAAGACACATAAAATAATCTAAGAGTTCTAAATAAAAGATAAGTTCTATTTCATCTTCGCAAAATAAAGTACTGTATGACTTTATTGCTAATAGGAATAATAAATAGTTACGCGAAAGGTTCAGTTGAGACTGATTATTTTTGATTATGTTACTTTAGAAATTATATGGTTAGCATAAATGAAATAACCTAAATATGCTACTCATTTCATTGAATAGTACACTTTGTTTCAAATTGAATAACTCTAGCCAGGAAACAGCTAGAGACTTTCAGTTTTCAACTTTGAACAAAGAGGTAGTAGCTTTGTATGGGAATATAAACAAAACGGCACTACCTCAAAATTTGAGATGATCTGTCGGCAAAAATTCGCAGCGATTTGTCGACACATCATCGTCCACTTTAGCATTGCCTGCTTTTGACATAGGCATTTTCCATGGATCTTTTTACCGTTCATTGGAATCAAACCAT